GATGGTGAAGTCAGGGGTGGTGGAGTCAGGGATGGTGGAGTCAGGGGATGGTGGAGCCAGGGATGGTGGAGCCTGTGGTGGTGGAGCCAGTGATGGTGAAGTCAGGGTTGGTGGAGTCAGGGATGGTAGAGCCAGGGATGGTGGAGTCAGAACTAGTCTTCCCTGACACCACAAGCCCTTCTAAAGAGAACCTCTGGGTACCACTCTGGCAGCTGACAATGAGCTGGGTGGGTGCTGGGCTGTACCCAGCCTACCCTTCCTGTCCTAGTCAGGCATCGCCTGGAGAATGTCACTGCTAAAGAGCCACCCCCAGCACTCTCTGCCATCCCTGGGGACTCTGTCAAGGAGAGGCCTTCACTATGGCACTTAATTGTCTTCAGGGGTATGTTAGGGCTCATGTGCCTGTCCTCCTGCTCAAGGCAGACCTGAGGGTCTTATTTGAGGACCCAGGACCACAGGGCCACAATGACCTGCCTGGCCCCTTGCCCCTCGGGACTGCTGATTCATCTGCTGGATGGTCACCACCAGCCCTGCAGCCCAGTGGAACTCCCTGTGGGGCTCAGCCTGTGGCCTCCATGCTTTATCCCTCAGGATCCCAGCAGCAAACCCATAAGTTAGATGGTGTCTTTAGACCCGGTCCCCGGGGGAGGAAATGATGTGCAGGCAGGTGAAGGCGCCTGCAGAGGCCCTGCGGGTTCCAGTCTGGGTGTGAAGATTCCAGGAGCCTGTGTACCAGACCTCCTCGCCACTTGGCCAAAGCTGGTAGTTGGGTGGCGGGAGAGGCTGGAGCCAGCAGCCCTGGTGGGCACAGCTGCAGGACAAGCTGCTCTCAGGGTCTGGACAGAGTGGCTGGAAAAGCTGATCCCTTGAGTCAGGATTTCACGGAACTGGAAATAAAGGTGAAGGCCTTAACTGAACCTTAAGGAGAAAATAAAAACCCTTATAAATTCCCCTGTGAATGAGATAAAACTAGAATAAAATTGAATACAGTAAATATAGAATAATTTAGTATGGAGCTTCCTGTCTTTTGACTCCAAGTAAAAGCTGGCCAATCTGAGTGTATTTAATATGGTGTCCAGCCAGGCAGGGGCTGGGGAGACAGGAAGACACCAGAGGGCCCAATCCATCCCTAAGCATCTCATGGAGCCTCATCCCCACCCAGCCCAGCGATCTGGGCTCCAACAACGGTGATTGAGCCGCCCTCATCCCTGGGGTGTCCCAACAGGCAGGCCTCCCACCTCCCTGAGAGCTGGTCACTGGGAGGGTCCCATGTCCTCCTCTTGGGCCAGCGCAAATGCTGCTCCCAGGGCTGGGGCCATGAGCTCAGGGGCCCAGGGTGAGCAGCATCCCCTGCCCCCACCTTTTTCCCCCTGAAGGAGCCACGGTGCTGTTCCTAAATGCCACAGACCTGGACCGCTCTCGGGAGTACGGCCAGGAGTCCATCATCTACTCCTTGGAAGGCTCCGCCCAGTTTCGGATCAACGCCCGCTCAGGTGAGCCCCTGACCCCGAGCACCCTGGTCCTCCACACCCTGAGGCTGACTGTCCATACCCGGCCCCAGAACCAGCCTCTGGGTCCAGGTCTCCTTCCTTTCAGTTTTGAGCAGGCCAACTTTGAGCACCAGTGTAATCCCTGAAATATTAATTTGAGTGTGATTACTGATCTTACCCAAAAAAATCACAACGTGAATTGATCCAGGGAAGGATGTCTGTCAAGGGTGAAGAGTTGTATTATGTTTTAAATGTGTTCCATCTTACAAACAGCTGGTTAACACATCCTTTTTCAGGAACACCTTTATTAAAGCCTCAGTGTCCCCCTCCCTCAGCTCCTGACCTCATTCTTAAAGCCTGGCTCCTCTTCTTACACAGATGTGTGCCTCAGTTTCCCCAGCTGTAAGATGAGGAAGATCATGTTAGGGCTGCTGTGTGGATTAAATGATGTATAACAGGGAACACACTTTGAATAGTCCCTGGCACACAGTAAGTGCTAAAAATATTACTATCATTGTTCTCTTTTATTTGTTCACCTGTGAGCCCCCTGCCCCAAGCTCCCATCCCCTGACTCCACCATCCCCTGGATGTAACTCTCTTCTTTCGTCTTCATCTCTCCATGTACATTCCTCAGTTTTCTCTCTTCCTTGAAGCTGGGAGAAAAAGTGGGCAGAAAGAAGCAGCAAGAGACCCAAGCTTTTCAGCCAGGCCTGGGGAAGAATTGGGGACCTCTGTACATTCGTTCATATGTTCATTCAGAAATTGGGGTGGGGGCTGCTCTGAGCCAGGTGCTGTGCCAGGTGCTGGGGTACAGGAAGGAATAAGACATGGCCCTGACCTCATGATGTTCCCAGTCAGCTCAGTGGGCATGCAAGGCACCCCACTTCCAATACCTATTTCTGTATGAGTTAAAGGAACTGTTGATGCTAAACAGCTACACCCTATCTCAGTGGCTTGAGACAATAGAAATTCTAATTCATATAGTCAACCCAGGCAGATGTTGAGTGACAGCCTTCCACATGATGATTCTGGGGCCCAGGCCCTTCCATGTTGTGGTTCCAAGGTCACTGCTGAAGGGAAAAGAGAGCATGGATTATTGGACTAGGAGGAGTTTATGGGCCAGGCCCTGCCTGGCAGTCACATCCAAGTAATAATTATCCCCTGGAAAGGAAGCAGGGATCTTTGGTGGACACTGGCCATCCCTGCTGCAGGTGGTCAGTGACCCAGCAGGGCATTAGCTCTTCCTGCTATCCATCCCTCCGCAGTGGAAGTCAGCCTTCAATCCCTTTTTTGTACCCTTTTCCTGGAGGCTTGGGGAGCAGATGGCCAGTTCTGATGGGTACAAAGACTGAGGAAGGGGACCCAGGGCCACTGTGAGCCTGTTTTTCTATCTCTGAGAAAGTGGGGGCCTTCCTCTCTGCTCTCAGGAGTGTCCCCCACAGTGAGCCCTCATTCCCAGGGGTCTCAGAGTAATGTCATGAATGAGTATGAACCACATGCCCAGCACTGTTCCCAGGGCTCTGAGCAGCAGCATCTCATTCTGCCCTCCTCACCTGTGAGGCAGGTACTAGCCTTATCCCCATTTTCCAGATGAGGAAGCTGAGCCACTGGGGAGGTTAAGTAACCTGACTGAGGACTTACAGAGCATGAACTTCTGAATCCAGAATCCAAACATTAAAGTTTCCATTATATGAGTAGCTCCCTGACCTTTCAGCCACCCCTGCCCTTGCCTCCCCAGTCAGGGCTCCAGCTCCACCTGGGGCCTTTAATGACGCAGACTTTTTCTTGCTGCCTTAACAAGACTTTGGCTCCAAAGGTGTAAGCATTTTCCTCTGAGCTCCTCGGTCAAATTAGCCAGGCCTGCTCCACAGAGGTGGCCTTAATTGGATCTAATTTCCCAGACAGGAGAGGCTATCTATCATGCCGACAAGTTCATGTTTAAAACTTTTTAGATTAATTTCTTCCTCGCCCTGCCAATTAATCGACACCACCCTGGCAGAGAATGTGGCTTGTTGGGCAGACCTTTGTGAGTCTTCCATTCCTGGCCTTAGCACCTAAGCTGCCCTGTCACCCACTCCCAGCTCCCTGCTCAGCCCTGCACAGACCAGTGGGCAAGCCAGCATGCCACGGAGGGAACTGTCAGGGTAGAAGCAGTCCTAAAGGCAATCTGGCCCAGCTGCCTTGTTTCATGGTGGAAAGAACCAAGCACAGAGAAGTTAAGCGACTTGCCCCAGGTCACACAGCTCAGGCAATGGGGATAAAAAGATGGATAGCACACAGGCCCTGCCCGTGGGGAAAGCTCACAGTCCGGTGGAAGGAAACAGTCATTTTCTGAGTGTTGGGAGCCTCACCTAGAATTACTTTAACCTCACAACAGCTCTGCGTGGAAGTCACACTCATCTCCATTTTATAGATGAGAAAACTGAAGCTTCAAAAACTTAAAATTTTCCAAGGCCAAGCATCTGGGAAGGTCCATAATCAGAATTCAAATCCACGTCTCACATCCTCACCACGTGGGCGCTCTCCCATGGCTGATGCGAGCTGGCGAATGGCCTGGCTGCAGTGACTGCTGAAGTCTGCTGGGACTGGCTCACCCTGCCCCCAAGAGCTAGCGAGGCTCTCAGCTGGGAACTCCGTATTCAATACCATCAAGTTGGTAGCTTAAAATGGGCCCTGCTGGGGCTATTTACACCAAGGAAGTTGGAAAATGCCTTTTTTTTTTTTTAATTTTGGGAGCCAGTTGTCAAACATTTACCAGCACACCAAATTTCAGTTACACCAAAATACAAAGAAAGACCAAATACAGGTGAACAAAAAATTTTGTTTAATTGTTCAGATTTAGCATGCTAAAAAAATTCGAGGCCATGTAATTATGCTGTTCACAATGTAATTAGGAAATTGTTTTATAACTATTAATTATCAATGCACGATAAGGCTGGATAGGTTGAACTGTCCAGTAATGAGTCATAAGTTAGAACGCGTGTGAACACCTGGTGTTTTTCTTTCCTGTCATTGTATTTCTGTGACTATATAAATAAACAGCGCCTGGCACTGTTCTAAGATTTCCATGATCTTAATTAAATTAACCCCATGATAGCCCTATGAGGTAGGTCCTATTATGGTTCCCTTTGGACCCTATGAGGAAACTGAGGCACAGAGGATTGAAGTACCTAGCTCCAGGTGATAAAGCCAGTAAGATAATGTCAAAAGTCTAAACAAGAGGTGACCTGTGACTGAGCTCAAGGCCTAATGGCCCTCCTGCCCTGTTCTCCAGCCCCTACCCTGAGAATCAGTCTAGATTTTCCCACATCTGCAAATATTTCCTCCCTGTGGGGTTACATTGCCCAGCTCTGGGGAGCTGGCTCCCAAGGCATGGGAGCTCTCCTGTCTCCCACTGTGATAAGCACCATCTCAGGAACACATCCAGGCTGCCAGATCATGGTAGTCTGCTAACATTTCTCATGCACGTTCTCACTCTCTCTCCTTCCCTCGCTGTCTCCCTAGCCCACCCAAGGCCTCTCACGCACCCACTTCTCTCTCTGGCAGGGGAAATCACCACCACGTCTCTGCTTGACCGAGAGACCAAGTCTGAATACATCCTGATTGTTCGCGCAGTGGACGGGGGTGTGGGCCACAACCAGAAAACTGGCATCGCCACCGTGAGTGTGCTCCCCTCCCATGCCCCAGTTCCCCTCACCAGCCAGGCTGCTGCTCCCCGCTTGTACCTCTGGACCGCCGTGTCCCCAGCCAGTGTGAGGCTTTGTGAGAGTGAGCAAGGGGGCGAAAATGAACTCAGCAGCGGCAGAGGTCAGTCCCCGGGGCCACCGCGGCTGTGGGGAAGAAAGGCATCACCACCCGGAATGTAGGGGCCCTTGGGAGGAGCAAAATGAAATACTTTCTCTCCTGCCCCTAAAAATCCAGGAGGGCAGGTGGCAGAAGGCATGAGCCCTATAGGCCTCTCCGTGCTTGGCACCTGCCAACAGAGCAGAAGCAGGCATTCCTGTGAGGAAGAGCAGCTCAGAGCAGGAAGCAGGGCGCTGCAGGGTTCCTGGGGGCTTGTTCTTCCCCCACTGATGTGCCCCGGAGAGTCGAACGCTAGAGGAACGAAATGTGGGGGCCTTGAATGAGCTCTCGGCTGCAGAAGTGAAGGGGAAGTGAGAAGCGCTCTGTGAGAGAGGAAGCGGGAGGACCAGCTGACAGTCACTCCAGCCACCTCCCCGATTTGTTCCCCATTCAGTTTCTTTGGCTCAGCCTCAGAACTGTGGCCCTCACCCAGCCTGCAGCAGCCACCGCATCCTTACCCAGCCAGAGAGGCTGGAGATGGTATCGCGTGGCCAGGGATTTGGTGTGAAAATCCCCAATGCCCTACTCTGTCAAGGGAGGTCCCTGCTAATAGGAATCAGCCCTATAAATAATGTACCTGGTGGCAGGTGAGCAAAGAAATTGCTTGGCTTATAGCTGAGATGGGGGAGCTCAAGGGATCCTATTAGATCCCCCACCCTGTCAGTCACCTTCAGCCAAGACTGGAGGCGGGGATGGGAGAAGTCCCAGGTCACAGCAAGGATTTCAGGGGTCATCACATCCATTCCACTGCCTCCGGATGGGACAACACTGGAACTCTCTCTCCTGAAGGGGCCTGGCTCCTTCCTGTCCTCCAAAGCCCAGGCCCTGCCCAAGGCCTCCAAAGTTGGTGGAGCTGGCGGAATGAATGCCAAGATTGCCCGTGGGCATCTGAGCATGTTTCCCCTGGCAGGCCCTGCCCCGGCCCATCTCAGCTGGGTGCATCTCCCAGTGCCCCTTGTGGTTTCACAGGTAAACATCACCCTCCTGGACATCAACGACAACCACCCCATGTGGAAGGACGCACCCTACTACATCAACCTGGTGGAGATGACCCCCCCAGACTCTGACGTGACCACGGTAGGTGGTGGCAGAGCAGCAGAACCGCTAGGCGGCCCCTCCCAGGGGTGTGTGCCCCTCCCACCGCGATCCCAGGAGGCCTGCCCATATGGGGCTGGTGGACTCTGTGTCCCTCTGAGCTGGCTCTTGCAGTAGGGTTCTAGCAGTTCTCCTGCATGGTGAAAGGCAGTCAGAGATCAAGGTGCCTCCAGTGTCAGTAGGCCTCAGGCTTTGTCACAGGGAGCTTCAGGCAGCCCAGGGACAGTGGCAGGGGAGCTCTGGCCGGTTCCTCTTGCGAGTCACACGTGCCCTTAGAGCCCAGGACTCTGGCTACCTGCTCTGGAGAGCTCCCACCCCTACACTGCACAAGCCCCAGCTCCACCCCAGCACCTCTCTTTCACTGCTGTGCCCTGCAGCTCCCCCACAGGCTGGCCCCCAGGGCTGCCCAGCAAGGATTTTGTTCACCTCAGGATTTTTCTGGCACAGGTTTGCCAGGTTTGCACAGGTTCCTGTGTGTGTTGTGTGCTCATGCGCAGGAATGTGCACAACTCAGGGTGCAGAGGGGAGACACAGCCAAAGCCAGGGCATCCACAGGGGAGACCAGAATCCTGGGGACACTGAGGAAGCCCAGGTCCCAGTCCCATACCATCTTCTCTGCTGGGAGATCCACGTTTTTCAACCTTCTCCCCCACACCCTGTACACCACACGGCCTCACTTGGGGAGGCTTGTCCCCACAGGAACAGCCCCACGGCCACCCACCCAGCCCTGTGGGGGACCTGAATCCTGACAACTCACAGTAGCGCCATTGACTGAACAGCTGGGATGTGCCCTGAGCTTCACCTGACGGCTTCTCAGGAACTCTCTCCTCCTCACCATAATCTCACATGGCACAGGGATTCCGCTGCGTCTGTACTGTGGAGGAGACAGACTTAGAGCTTGAAGGCTTGCCCAAGGTCCCAGAGCTTGTAAGGGGTGCAGTCGGGACTCGAACCCTGGTCTGTCTGACTTGGAGACAAGGGATTGGAAACCACCTGGCCCAGTCCTTATTCCTCTGGGAGGGGGCATCCACACACCAGCTGACAGCCGTCAGTGAACATGTGGAAAGGAAGATAGGCATGACGGCCAATCCTTCCCTCCCTCTCTTTGTCCTTCTTTCCAGGTTGACCTCCTCTCCCATCCAGAGCCACTGCCAGGTATGGCTCTGGCACTGGAATAGGCACAATGGAATAGGGCAGAGGTGAGGGATCTGGAATCTGTGATTTTTCAAAGTCCCGTAGAGGAATTCCTTCCAGCCCAGGGCCAGGTTTAGAAACCATCACCCTCGCCCTTTGACACAACTCTCTAGGCTCTTTGGTGGGTGCTCTCTACTGCCCCCTCGTGGGCACTGCACTGCCCCAGGATAACCTCCCCACCCCAGCCAGGGATTCCAAGAGCTGGGGCTGGATCTCACCTCTGAGTACCTTCTGGTCAACCCTCACCTTTCCCTTAGGTTTCTGGGAAATTCCTCCCAAAGGGAACTGAGGGGCAGGTGAGGAAGGTTGCTCTGGGAGAAAGGGGCTGCATGGGACACCAGCCTGGATTGCCATTATCAAACAGTATACCCAGCAGACAAGGAGTGGGTGTGCCAGGTGAGGACTGCACACAGCCTTGGGCATCTGCAAGCTCTGGTCCCCACGCCCTTCACCAGGTCTCCTGCCCTCCGCAAGTCCTTCTGAGCCATGAACACGCATGACAATGGACCAGGGGCCTGCTGCGCAGTGCCTCCTCACTTTCCAGGAAACCCACAAGCCATCAGGGAACGCCTACTACATGCCAGGCCCCACGCTTGTCTGGCTAAGGGTACAGGAAGCAACACCAGGCCGGGTGCAGTGGCTCATGCCTGTAATCCCAACACTTTGGGAGGCCAAGGCAGGCAGTTCGCTTGAGCCCAGGAGTTCGAGACCAGCATGGGCAACATAGTAAGACCCCCCACTTCCCGTTTATAAAAAAAAAGTTTTAAGTAGCCAGATGTGGTGGTGCATCCCTGTGGTCCCAGATACTCAGGAGACTAAGGCAAGAGGATTTTTGAGCCTGGTAGATTGAGGCTGCAGTGAGCCAAGATCACACCACTGCACTCCAGCCTGAGTGACAGAGTGAGACCCTGTCTCAAAAAAAAACAAAAAAACAAAAAAAGGAAGCTCCTGCCCTGCCTGCCTTTGGGGAGTGTCATGTCACTCTTCTGTTCAAATCCCAATGGTTCCCATCTCACCCTGTGCAAAAGCCAGAGTCCTTGCCAGACCTACAAAACCCACAGGGTCCACCCCATTGTCACCCCTGAGGAGCCAGCCGTGTCATCCCAATCTGTAGTACAGAACGGGTGTGGCTGTTCCACCGCTGGCGTCTGGTGGGCACAGGCTCGAGCTTTTCAGTGCCCCGGGGTAGTATCTGAGACCTGAAAAATAAATGTGATGGCTTGAAAGTTCAAAGAGAAAAGGACAAAATCAAAATTAAAACTTGTTATATGAAACATCTATCAGATGAAAGACGGCAGTTTCAGTAACTATGAAATTTAGTGTTTGTGAAAATTTCATTACATTTGAGGACAAATTGGAGGTTAGATTTTTCTAGAATTCTTGAAAATTTTCCAGAATTTTCTGGAATTCCCAGTTACGTATGATGATTGCCAGGAAATCAGAAATCAAGAAGCTTCAACGTTAGTCAAGTTTGTCATAGCCAAATATTTTGAAAAGGAAGTTATAAAAATTCTTTCAAATTGTATAGCCATAAAACGTATATATGCATTTGTATGTATACACATGGGTATGCTTCATTACCTTGGAGAGGACCCCCTGGGACCTTCTAGGGCCTCACAGTGGCCTAGGATGAGGTAGGGTCTGTGGCCAAAGTGTGAGGTGAGGTGGCTACAGAGGGAACGGCTAACCGAGGTTCAGGTGACAGAAGGAGGAGGTGATATTTGAACAGGGGCTGGCCCACCACCTGACTCATCTCCCACCCCACCATTCCCACACACCCACACCCACAACTATCACCCATCACCAACACACAGGCCTTTCCTTTCCCTGCACCCACTCAACTCTCCCCGAGCTCAGAGTTTTTGCACAAGCCCTTTCCTCCCTGACCCCTACTCTTTCCATAGGCAGCTCATTCTCTTTCATCTGTCCCAGCTTAAAACATCAGCTGTCTTAGAGAGGCCCTCCCTGACTACTGTCTAAAGTAGCTCAGACCCCTTTCCAAATTCTGTTTCCTGCAGAGCTGGGCCCACGATCTGTGCTTATTTGTTTGGTAGGCTATTTGCTTATTAAGAGGCACATGGTTTAGTGATTAAGCAGGCAGCCTCTGGTACCAAAATGCCCAAGTTCTCACCCCAGCTACACCACTTACCAGCTGTGTGACCTTGGGCAAGTTGCTTAACCTCTCTGTGCTCCAGTTACTCTCATCTAAAAAATAGGGCTAGTAAGAGTCCCCACCTGACAGAGCTGTGATCAGCGCTTACTGAGCCGAGATATAGGAAGCACTGGCACATGGGGAGTGGTCAGTAAATGGTAGCTGTCATTATCATCAGTATCATTATCATCATCTGCTTCCTTTGATGGAATCGCACCTATCTCGTTCACTGTCAAACCACACTGCCTAGCACAGTTCCAGGCACATTGTAGGTGTTCAAAATATCTCAAAATATGTGTTGTTGAGGACTGACTCAGCTGGTGAATATCTTACCTTTCCTTCCCCCAACCCCCCAGCTCAGCCAGGCGGTGGTTGGGTCTTCCTTGTCGGAGGGAGACTAGGGCGTGTGGCCCAAGACTCTCTCAAGAGCCCGCTCTAGGCATGGCATGGGCCACAGCCCCTGGAGTCGGAGGCACAAGGCAACCCCAGTGATTTTCAGAGCTTGCATGCAGACAAGTGTCTTCCCACATGTGGCTTCATTTGGGTGCATTTGGAGTTGGTGCAGTGTGTGCATCTGCATGCACCGGGTGTGGCCTGGCATGCAGGCACTGAGGAGGTCCACCTGCACAGGCGTGCGCTGGCAGAGTGGCCATCTCTGTCTGCAAGGGAGATTTTGGTCCCACTCTCCTTTCTGGCTCCTGCAGCTGCCTTCAAGGACCTGGCTGATGGGCATTGATTTAGAGCCTTTCAGAGCCCTCCAGCAAAATAAAGGAGAGGGGAGAAGCAGAGAATTATTCCCCGTCAGGCCAGGAGAAAAATGACGGGCGTGAAATGGGAAATAAATGAGGGGAAAGTGGTGAGATTCTACAAAATCGCCCAGCAGGGAGCCTGCAGGAGGGCTCACAGCCCTCTGCCCTCTTCTGTACTCCCAACCCACCCTGTGACCAGAGAGTGGCCAAGAGGCCCAAAACCAGTGCCCATGCCCCAACCAGGGTCACTTGGAAGCAGCTACCCCTGGCACTCTCTGGCATGGTGGGGGCAGGAAGAGGGAATAGAAGTGGAGAACCACCTCCCATGTGAAATTTGTCTCAGCCTGTTCAGCAACAGGCCTGGCCTGGAACAAGTGATTCAACTGCTCTATTCCTCAGTTTCCCCATCCAGAAAAATAAAACAGGGAGAAAATCATCTCTCCCCTAGGCTGGGTGTGGTGGCTCACACCTGTAATCCAAGCACTTTGGGAGGCTGAGGCGGGAGGATCACTTGAGGTCAAGAGTTTGAGACCAGCCTGGGCAACATGGTAAAACCTTGTCTCTATTAAAAAATACAAAAATTAACCAGGCGTGGTGGCTCTTGCTGTAATCCCAGCTATTTGGGAGGCTAAGGTGGAAGGATCGCTTGAAACCAGGAAGTGGATATTGCAGTGAGCCGAGATTGCACCACTGCATTTCAGTCTGGGCGATGGAGCAAGACTCCGTCTCAAAGAAAAAAAAAAAAAAATCTCGCTTTTCAAACTGTTGAGAGAAGCATTGTAAAAACGCAAGGAATGCTGGTCTTCTATGTCCATCTGTGAAATGACTTGGCCTGTTTTAAATTATGCCTGGAGTACCTAAGAGCCCCGTCTCCTGTTTGCAAAATGGGGGTGTTGGGGTCCCCTTTATGGAGGCTAGGGAAACTGAGGCAACATGCCCACAGCAAGATAAGGACACCTCAGGCCTGGAAGGCAGGGACCTCCCCTCCCCTACCCTTTGATGCTGCAAGGCTGGGCCGAGGAGAGGAGGGCTGAGCAGTCCAGGGTGGGAGTGGGGCCTGCCCCCGCCCCTCTGAAGGGGCAGCTGGCCAAGGGCGCCACAGCATTCAGCCCTGCATCAGCCTCTCTCTCCCCGGCCTCCCCAGGAGCCATGGACAGGGTAGATGGGAGTACTCAGCCGGGGCAGCTCGTCTGTCTGTTCTGGTCTGGTGGCCCCAGAGACACCTCTGGCTGGGGATTAAGCAGAGGAGGGACAGATTCTGCTGCCAAAGCACAAAAGGCTCCACATCAAGTAAGATGAAGGAGCTGACAAGCCTGGCTGTCACCACCAAGTGTACTGCAGTTAAGAATAATCCTGTCCTGATGTGGCCCCAGGGACTGTGGTCACCTCCCCCGCACTGGTCTTGTCCACCCCGGTGCCACAGTGGCCTCTGCAATGCAAGGTCAGGGGTGAGCGAGGGGTAAGGGCCACCTCAGGAGCCTCCAGGCTGGGAGCTGGGTCAGCTCCATGGCTGGGGCTGTGTGACCCTGAGACTGGCCTGTGCCTCTCTGGGCTCTGCTTTCTCCTTGTGGAAAGCAGGGCGGGTGGAGGATGAGGGAGCTTCCCCACAGAGCAGGGGATCCGTGCACACAGGAGGCCTCAGCGAAGACGGGGAGCCCTCAAAGGCTGCAGGGGGCCCTTTGCGTTTTGTTTACGACCTGGCTGTGTGGGATCTGGGACACTAAGGGACAGCAGGCTGTGGGGTTCGGCGCCCCTGGGTTAGGGCGGCACTGAGCACTGACCCCTTCATGACATGGGGGTTATAAGTGGGGAACAAGGCTGTGGGCTGGGGAGTTGAAGGGGCCAGAGTGACTGAGGCCCAGTCCTGAGACCCTGCCCCTTATCAGGGACAGTGTACCTCCCTTCCAGGGAGCTCCACCCTCTCCTTCCTCAACACTCCCCCAGCCCCACAACTGCCCCAGATAACTGGGTCCTGCATTCTGAAACTGGGGCCCAGCCATGGTTTCCTCCACATGCCCTGTCATCTCTGGTGTCACAATCTAATGCTTCAAAGAAAGGAAGGAAGGAAGGGAGGGTTTGATGAGGAGGAACCCAGTCTCCAAAATCCAGGGTTTCAAATCCTTTCAAAAATCTTAGCTGGAGTACAGACTCCCCAGCCCTTCCCAGCCCCTCCCCTAGAGAACTCCTGCCTCCCATCCCTCTCAGACCCCGCTACTGGGCCCAGCAGGCAGGCTCACTTCCTGGGCTGGAGCCAGGATGCCCCCTCCCCAGGACCAACGTCTGAGCTCAGATACCCCCAGGCAGCCCAGAGACACCCTCCTCAGGCACGGCTCAGTGAAGGGGTCTGCTCCCTCCCTGGCAGGTGGTGGCTGTGGACCCAGACCTGGGGGAGAATGGCACTCTGGTGTACAGCATCCAGCCACCCAACAAGTTCTACAGCCTCAACAGCACCACAGGCAAGATCCGCACCACCCATGCCATGCTGGACCGGGAGAACCCTGACCCCCACGAGGCTGAGCTGATGCGCAAAATCGTCGTCTCTGTCACTGACTGTATGGACCCCTCTCGCCCCTCACAGCCCCCACACCTTAGACTGCGGGCATCCCTGGTGACTGGGTCTCTGGGGGACCTGGGCCCACCCAGGAGGGCTATGTCTGATCACCAAGAGTAGGGTAATACCCACGCCCCAGTTGTGACTCCCAGAGCACCCCGAGGGAACGGAGGGGGCGGGGGAGGCTAGCCATGAGGCCCAGGCTGCTTCCTGGAGGGGCCACTGGGACGGAGGGCTCTGAATCTGCCACCCTCTCGCCACTTGCCTTCTTCTGTCCGTTTTCTCTTGCACCCATCTTACCCCGTCCTCAACCCCTTCTCGCCTTGGTCTCCCCAGGTGGCAGGCCCCCTCTGAGAGCCACCAGCAGTGCCACAGTGTTTGTGAACCTCTTGGATCTCAATGACAATGACCCCACCTTTCAGAACCTGCCTTTTGTAGCTGAGGTGCTTGAAGGCACCCCTGCAGGGGTCTCCATCTACCAAGTGAGTCTCTCTCATCTCATTCCTACCAGCCCAGAAGTGGGCAGTGGGTGCCCGAGGGGCCTAGCCCAGGCTGAACACTTTGCAGAGCTGGGGCAGGGGAGGAGCTGGATCTTGAAGGACAGAGGCTCTGGAGATGTGGAGGGAAGTGTGGCAGGAAAGGATAGTGAGATGGGCAAAGGCAGAGGGAGAGAGAGGGAGAGAGGCAAGATGGAATTCTGGAAGTCACGTCCAAGTTTCTCAGGGCCTGATTATGGAGGTCTGGCCCAGGAACTTCCATTCCCTAAGCCTGCAGATGGTTCTAGAATACAAAGAAGACCAGATGAGTGTAGCCCTGGGCATCCGCCTCTCCCATGGCTTCCCATAAGCCCCGGATCAGCTCCCTCTACTACAGTGGAGGGGCCTCTCCCCACTTTGCAGGGCTCTAAAGAGACTTGCCCAAGACCCTGTGGCCAAGCAAGGCACGGTCTGATCTTGGACCTGGCTTCTTTGCCTCTTGTTCCATCATCCTCTGGTCAGGGGAATCCTGAAGGTGCTGGTTTAGGGGAGAGGACATCCAGGGTTTCAAGTCCTTTCAAAACCTCAGCCCTCCAGAGGCCGTTTGGAAACACTGGAGACCCTCCTGCTTAAGAGCATGGGCTGTGGAATCCAAACAACAGGGGTGTGGATCCCATCTCCAGCACCAGGGTGCTGTGTGACTTGGAGCAAACTGCTTAACCTCTCTGAGTCTCAGTTTCTCATCCGTGAAATGGAGATAATAATAGTACCTGCCTGGCTGTGCTGTGGGGACTCAATCAGACACATGTATGAAGCACCCTGGAACTTGGACACAGGAAACACGGTAGCTGTGGTGATCACTGTGTATCTGTCACAAGGGCTTATATCTGAGACGCAATGGCCGTGTCAGGTTAGCCTGTTCCCATTAGAAGAAGACGGGCTTGTTTCTCAGGATGCCAGAGGGAGTGAGCTTGGTGGTGTCCCATAGGCCCGATGTGCCTCAGTTTCTTCATCTGTAGTAGGAGGTGGTGTTCTTTGGTGGGTCCTCAAATCCCCAGCAGGGGGCGCCACAATCCAGGGAACAGCAGCCGGTCCCCGAGGATGCCCTCAGACTAGAGGGGAGGTGGTGTGAGAGTGAGTCAACCCCCAAACCCGGTTCTCTGCGGGCTTACGGCCGGCAAAGAAAGATGACCACCAATGCAACTTCTGAGTTCATAGAGGAAGGAGCGGGAAGCATTTAATCTGGAAACTGTCCTCACGTACAGGATGAGGGCCCTCCCTTGAACTGTGGCTCCCTGGTCCCACCTAGGACCTCAGGCGATTCAGATTTCTGCGGGTTGTGCAGAAGAGCCTTCTCCAGGGGAGTAGAGCTGTGTTCAAGTAAAGTAAAAATACTGAGCCCCCCGTCCTGGAAAGCATGCAAACTGAGTCCAGACACCTTTTGTCCAGTTTGCTGGATGTGAAATAGATCAGATGACCTTGATATTGTCTTCCAATCCTGAAAGTCTTGGCTTAATCCCAAACTCTTATTTTAGCTATTATTACACATTTCCCCAAATGCCTTGGATCCACTTCAGTAAAACTTTGTTCAGGGAACCAGGGGGTCTTGAGTTGGGCAATCTGATCAGGACTGGAGGTGCAAATGAGAACAGTGTAGGAACTTGGGAGGAGGCTTGTCTGTACATGGCCGCAAACAGCTTTTTAAAAAAATAATGATAATGAAATCCTCAAGTGACTTTTTAAAAAGAACCCTTGATGTCATTTTATTTTTGTTGTTGCTGTCTCACAAATCAAAGCAAAGCAGGGGAGGGAAAGCCTGTGGATCCAGCCTTCTATGTGGTTGAACTCCAGATAATGGTGGGGTCCTCAAGCTGGAACAGCTGCTCCAAACCTGGAAGGGCTTCCTAATGGGGAGAGCAGGGGCTGAAGGGGGGAAAGCACTGTAGAGACCTGAGCTCTTATTCTAAAAAGTCCCTCTGCCACCCCATCACCGACCTCACTTGGTGCATCCGGACGCCTTTCAGCTGACGTGCGACCCCCTTAGAGAGCATCTGGGAGGGTGCCCTGGGGACAGTGGCCTGGCGTAAGGCTTGGAGGGGAGCAGATGTGTTTGGCTGCAGCCAAGTGTGGCTTGGCAGGGAGGAGGGAGCACTTCTTGGGGGAGAAGCACCCGTCCCAGTGTCCCCTCCCCGCCCTCATGCTGCCCCTCCTCGCCCTCAGGTGGTGGCCATCGACCTCGATGAGGGCCTGAACGGCCTGGTGTCCTACCGCATGCCGGTCGGCATGCCCCGCATGGACTTCCTCATCAACAGCAGCAGCGGCATGGTGGTCACCACCACCGAGCTGGACCGAGAGCGCATCGCCGAGTACCAGCTGCGGGTGGTCGCCAGTGACGCAGGCACGCCCACCAAGAGCTCCACCAGCACGCTCACCATCCACGGTGAGGGCGTGGGGGCTTCTGCTGTGTGCTCAGTGTGTGGGCACAGGCCTGGGTCAGGGCCAGGGGGAGAGGGAAGCCCACGTCCCCCACTGCTGTCTGCTGGACTTGTAGGCACAGGCTCCCTTGTTAATGAGGCGCCCTCCTCAGCTGGAGCCATTCAACACAGCAGAGCCTTCTCCACACCTGGCCACTGCCTTCAGTGCCCCAGAGCTCAGGGGCAGTGGCCTGGACCTGCTGCCAAGGCCCCATCACCCCCACCCCTCCTAGCCTCTGATCACAGCAACAGCAGAGAGGGCTTGAGAAGCGGCCGGGACCCTCAGGGTCATGAACAGGCAGGGAGGGTGCAGAGCCCTTTGTCTTCTTTGGAAGGCCAGAGTTTTTGTTTGGGAGACATAAAGGAGACCTCCGTCTCCCATGGGTGTGGAACCCCTGGGCTGGCAGTGGCAGGGCATCACCCTGGGAGGAGAGCAGCTGGGACTCCCAGACTGCCTAAGATCGTCATGCCCCTGGGACTGTCGTGCTCGTTCCCAGTGTCTCTGCCCTCTATTCGTGAAAGGCCGGGTACTGTTTCCACTCTGGATGAATCGTTAATTTTCAGGACAGGATGGGGACATAAGCTGTTGCCAAGGGGCCAAGAATAACCCCAGGGAAATAAGGGCAGAGTTTAACAGGCAAGACATGGCCTGTTCCCAGGCCTGTTCAGTCCCATGCTAGCTCTGCCGGCCGCTGTGGCTTGGCAGGGGGGCGGGGGAGGGAGTAGTTAGCTCGGCACAGGCGCAGACACTGACCCTCTTCAGTGAGATGGTGAGGATTTCAGAAAGCACAACATTCTCTCTCCCATCGGTCCAAGGCTTGCCTGTGGGTTTCTGGTGCCAGTTTCAGGACCCCCTTCTTGGCCGATGATTGACAGGGAATATGTCCCAGCTTTAAGAGAGGACCCCTGGAGGGCCTTTCTCCAAGCCCCAGCAGAAGTCATAACATCAAACGGGCCCAGCATCTCCCCTGGTGATACCACTTAGAGGAACCCAAGTGGGGTGGGGATCACTTCGCTATGAAAGTTGTCCAAGGCCGGGCACAGTGGCTCAAGCTTGTAATCCCAGCACTTTGGGAGGCCGAGACCGGCGGATCACGAGGTCAGGAGATCGAGACCATCTTGGCTAACATGGTGAAACCCCGTCTCTACTAAAAAATACAAAAAAACTAGCTGGGCGAGGTGGCGGGCGCCTGTATTCCCAGCTACTCGGGAGGCTGAGGCAGGAGAATGGCGTAAACCCGGGAGGTGGAGCTTGCAATCAGCTGAGATCCGGCCACTGCATTCCAGCCTGGGCGACAGAGCAAGACTCCGTCTCAAAAAAAAAAAAAAAAGAAAGTTGTCCAAGCCCCATCTGCCTAAGGAATAGGGGCCCAGCATGGGCTGTATTAAACAAATCTGTAAGGGAAATTAAACCTTATTTTGGGGGGTGGGATTTTCAAAGTGAGCTCCCTTTGCTGAAACTCCATTGCACACTGAGGGGTAGATCTTGAGGCTCCAGCTCTCCACTCTGCCACTGTGTGACTTTGGACAAGTCACTCAGCTGCTCTGAGCTTCCACTTCCTCAGCTCCACAGTGTGTGTAATAATGCCTGCCTCCTAGGGTGCTCTGAGGGCTGCCCGTGGTCCTGTACGGGAAGCACTCAGCATGGGCTTGGCACGCTGGACAAGCTCGTAAATGGTCACTGTCATCCTCGTTGTCATGATTGTCCGTGTTGTCATGGTCGTTGTTAGGCGCATACTGGAGAGAGGTTCTAAGGTTTTCTCTCCTCCCTTAGCTGAGCAGCAATAAGCCCCCAGGGCACAGGGACAGCGGGAGGGTCTGGAGCACTGGTGGGCTTGGTCCTGGCCCCGGTGGGCATGGGGGGCCCTGGGCTCACGGCCAGGAGGTGTTGACACAAATACCATTTGGAGCCCGTGACTCCCTTGGGAATTCGTTCCCTACTTGGTCTGGGGCTGGAGCCACTGCTCCGGAGCTGAGTCATCTGCAGCAGAAGCCAGGCCTAGCCCCGGCACCCATTCTGTCCTGCAGTGCTGGATGTGAACGACGAGATGCCCACCTTCTTCCCGGCCGTGTACAACGTGTCCGTGTCCGAGGATGTGCCGCGCGAGTTCCGAGTGGTCTGGCTGAACTGCACAGACAACGACGTGGGCCTCAATGCCGAGCTCAGCTATTTCATCACAGGTGCTGTCCTCGCCTCCGCCCACCTGTGCAGGCCTCTTGGGGCCCTGCTCCCAGCCCTCCCAGATAGACCAGGTTGGGGGCAGGTGAGGGTGGAAAAGAGGTCAGGGCTCTACCGTGGGGCTTTAACCCCTGTTGGTGCCTCCCGAGGATTTGCTCCTGGCTCTTCCCAAGGGCTTTGCAACCAGATCACTCTGGACTGGCTCCCTGGGGACCTCCTGAACCAGTTGCTTACAGGGATGGGGAGCATCTACCAAGGTTCATTCTAGAGGGAGGTGAGGCCCCATGATTCCTAGGGAGGAGCCCTGAGCCTCACTCCCTGCCCCAAGTATGGGTGACAGAGCAGTGACCAGAGAAACGTGGCCTCATCCTTCCTCGGGGATTACTCAGGAGAATTCCCATCTGTTTAGAGGCAGATGAAATGGTTTTTCATCTCCCTAAATGAAATGGTTTTAGCTCAAAAATGTTGCCTGGCTGTTGCCTGCAGAGCTATGGCCACAGATGATGAGGCCATGTCCTGGCTCACAGGACAAAGTGAACCGCGATGGATTAGTGATGTCTGCCATGGTGATAGGATTGGTAGGTGGTGGCACACATCCCATGGATTTGCCATTCCTGGATGAGAACACAGCTTCTTAGCCTCCCTGACACACGAGAGGTGCTGGGACACATGGGGGTGCGGTCTTCCCCGTCCTTCAACCCTCCTTGGCCCTTTTACCAACTCAGTCTTCTCTCTGTCCATGACCTGCCTACCAACACACATGTTGCCTCTGCATATGTGTGCCTGTACACACGAGCAGGGCACACACCAGCCTCCCAATGCCCCCCCGTGAAGCAAGAAAGCCTGGCTCACACCCCATCTGCGGCTCTGCTGCGGCCAATGAGACCTCCCAGCCCTCAGCCCTCCCTTTCTTCTCTCGCCTCCCTGAAGGGGCCCAGCATCCTCAGGCCTACTCCTCACAACTCTGGCCCTCAAGTCGGCCCTAGGGAGGGCTTAGTTGCCAAGACCCCTCACATGGCACCAGCTCTGTGGCTCCACTGCCCGCACTTCTTGCGTCCTAGTTCTGCCCTGGGCTCCCTGGGAGCCAGAGTGTATCCCTTGCCGATGGTACTTCAGACACTGGGGAGCACTGGAGGTCTGGGGGTCAGAATGCTTTATCCAGGGGCAAGCCAGCAAGGACAGGGGAGCACCTGGCAGCCCGCAGGATGACTCTTCAGCACCCCAAAGTGGTGGGCTCCTGCCGACTGCCCAGAGCCCTCCTGGATTCTCAGTGTGCTTTCTGCAAGGAGCTGAGCCCAGTCCTGCCCAAGCTTACCACAAAGCTGGTGCCATGGCGCCCTCTGCTGCCCAGAACACCACACTGCTCGCCAGCTGGCAGGGGAGGGGTCTCCACACTATTCTGGGAGTTCTTTGCTGACTCCCGTCCACCCCAAGAGGAGACCCTCACACTTCCCACCTGTCCCAGAACTCAAGGAGACTCTAATCCCTGTCTCCTGTATGCCTGCCTTGACTCCCCCCTGTGTGGAGCCTCCATGTCCCCACTCAGGGAGCTTCGATCCTCAGCCCATCTCACCTCCGAGATGAGGGGCCTGGGGGATGCCCAGCCAACCCCAGAGTTCTCAGCCGCATATCCAAGCCCCTACGCAGGTTAGCTGCTCAGACGCTTCTGCAGGACAGGCCGGGAGCAGAGAGGTGAAGGACACGCCCAGGGACCCACACACGGAGAAACCCAAGGTGGCACAGGCACACCGCCGAGCGAGGGGTTCTCCTCTGTGAAGTGGAGGCTAAATGAAGTGGTCTGCATGAAGTACCTGTAAACAGGAGGTGCTTCATGAAGGTTAGGAAACGATTCCAGGCATCTGGCGCCCCCACTGAGCCCACCCAGGCTGCACCTGCATCAGAGCATCTCAGGCAGGGGTGAATCGGCAGCACAGTCTCCCACTCCTGAACTCACCAGGGCAGGTCCCAGCTCAGGAGCAGAGCCCCTGCTTCTCCTGGCCAGGAGCTCTGTTTCCCAGCTGGAAGCTTCCTGTCCTTCACCCACAGGTGGCAACGTGGATGGGAAGTTCAGCGTGGGTTACCGCGATGCCGTTGTGAGAACCGTGGTGAGCCTGGACCGGGAGACCACAGCCGCCTACATGCTCATCCTGGAGGCCATCGGTATGCACCAGCCCCTCACCCACCAACACAGTGATCTGGGCAGAGTTCACACTGAGTGCCTCCCAGAAGCCGGCCTTTTGCTAAAGGCTGAACTCTGCCCAGGTGCCAGTGGAGAAGGGGCCACCAGACATTCACCAAACATTACTGAGCACTTGCCAGGCATGAGGCTCACTGTGTGGTGCTACACGCAAGACTTTAGGATGGTAAGGTGGGAGCTGCATGGGAGACCCACGTGTGGACAAATTACTGCAAATCCAGGCAAGCCAGCAGGAAAGGGAAAGGATGACATAAGAGTATCAGGCAGTGGTGCAGACACGGAGAGGGAGAGGTCATGGGAGGCTTCCTGGAGGAATCGACATCTGGGAGTGCCTTTGAGTGAGTTAGGACCCTTTCAGCTGCAAATTTTAAAATAAAACGAACTGACTGCAGCAATATGGGCTCACAAAATTAGTCCACTGGGAGATGGAGCTTCCGGTATGACCGGATTCAGGGCTCAGGTGACACCTCAGGCTTCAGTCTCTGCATTGGCTGGTGCTGCCTCCTGTGCGTTGATGTATTAGTCTGTTTTCACGCTGCTGATAAAGACATACCCGAGACTGGGTAATTTATACAGGGAAAAGGGTTTAATGGGACTTACGGTTCCACGTGGCTGGAGAGGCCTCACAATCATGGCAGAAGGCAAGGAGGAGCAAGTCCTGTCTTACACGGATGGCAGCAGGGAAAGAGAGAATGAGGAAGATGCAAAAGCAGAAACCCCTGAGAAAACCATCAGATCTCATGAGACTTATTCACTCCCACGAGTACAGTATAGGGGAAACCACCCCCATGATTCAATTATCTCCCACTGGCTCCCTCCCACAACACGTGGAAATTATGGGAATATCATTTACGTTGAGATCTGGGTGGGGACACAAAGCCAAACCGTATCAGTTGGTGTTATTCTTCAGCTCACATGGTGGCAGGTCATTGCCCCAGCCTCACCTGTACACATTCTCAGGTTCAAGTGCAGCAGCAGGGAAGACAGCACTTGTCTCTTTCCCCTCCCTGGCAGAAGCCCTCAGGTCAGCTCTAGATAGATCCATTCTGCCCCAGTGCCCATTCCTGAGCCCCTCACTGTGGCCAGGGAAGTGAGATGTGCTGATTACTTAGGCCTAAGTCACATGCCCATCCTTGGAGCTGGGGGCAGTCCTACCTACCCAGCATTCCAGGCCTCAGAGCCTGGAAGGGAGGGTCCACAGGGGGACATTCAGGACATGGCCTTCCCAGGGGAGCACCGAGCAGTGCTCATGGACAAAAACAAGAGGTGCCCACTGCAGCCTTAGAGGCCACATAAGGTTTCAGTACATGAAGAAGCAGGGAGGGCATTTCAGACAGAGGCACCAGCCCATGCAAGAGCCTGGAGGTGGGAAAGCGCCCTGTGTGCATCAGCACATGTGCATACACTGCAGCTGGCCATGGAGTGGCCCACACTGGGGAAGGGGAGGCTGTGATCAGGCAGAGCCATGTGTGAAGGCCTAAACATTGGCCAAGAAGTTTAGTCTTTGGTCTCTGGGCAGCAGGGAACCCTTGAGGGCCCCAGAGGGGAAGAGTGGTAGGATGAGGCCTGTGCCACCAGGTGCCCCTGGTCCTCCCAGGAAGTTTGCAGTAGCTAAGTAAGAAGGGAATGAATTCTCTGGGCCTCACTCTTTCCAACCATCCGTCCCTTCCCAGCCTGCCCATGCCCAGAAGCCTCTGCCCTCTGCCCTGCTCTCCTCCCCTCTTGGAATGGCCACCCACCCTCTGGAGACTTGTTGTCACCCCTGAGTCCAGCCTTCACGTTGGGCATTGGCTGGCAGGAGGAGAGGGCTTCCGCCAGCCTTCCAGGGAGCCTCCCCCACACACACCAGTCCCAGCCAGAGCAATAAGCCAGCCCCCAAGGGTGGTGGGAGGCTAGTCTGGAGAGGAGCTTTGGAGGGTGAGAAGACCTATCTCCAGTGAGTGACAGCACAGCCACGTATGGTCAGCTGGCCTGGGAAGAAGCATGGAGTCACCCTAGGCCTCCAGCCTACTCCAGCTGCCTGCACTCCCCGCTGGGGTGACTACTCTTGTCTGGACATGCAGCGCTGGTTACAAGCTCCTTCCTCCAGGGAGGACAACTCAAGAGCTGCCCCGGGGCTGAGTGAGTGCCCCATCCTCACCACCTCCCAGCCCTGGGAGGCTCCTGCTGGGAACTGGACGGACACAGTCTCCGGGTACCTTAGGCTTAGATCCCAAGCAAAACCCGTGTCCCTGAATGCGGAGGGGATGTTTGTTTGACCTATCCGATATTTTATAAAGAATGACCATTAGTTGTGAACATTTAAAGATCGGGAGATTTTATTTAAAAGCTCAGATGTTTAATTTCTCATGAGAAATCAGAAGATCTGGTGTCCCTGGGCCCACATTCTGCCTGTCAGCTGTGGACTGGGGTGGAGCACAGCTGCCCCTCGAGCAGGGGCCCATCCAGGTGTTTGGCCCGGGTGCTGTACCCGCCAGTCCCTGAGAGCAGTTGGCTTTTTGCTCTTAGTACCTGTATCTGCATCCTAAATTTGCCACGACAAACTACCACAAACTTAAAACAGCAGAAGTGTATTCTCTCCTGGTTGTCGAGGCCAGAAGTTAGAAATTAAGGTGTTGGCAGGGGCATGCGTCCTCCAAAGGCTCTAGGGAGAATCCGTCCTAGACTCTCCCAGTTTCTGGAGTTGCTAGGCCTTCGGTGGCTTGTGGCAGCGTCACTCCAGCCTCTGCCTCCATCTGCATGTGGCCTCCTCCTCTCTGTCTCAAATCTCCCTCTGCCTTTCTCTTACAAGGACGCTTGCCATTGGGTTTATGGGCCACCCAGATCGCCCAGGATGATCACTTCTCAAGACCCTTAACATAATTACATTTTCAAAGGCCTTTTTTCCCAAAGAAATTAACATTCACAGGTTCCCAGGGATTTAACATGGGTCTGTTTTTTGGGAGCCATCATTCAATCCACTCGAGTGCCTCAGTTACCGCCTCCGTAAAATGGGGATGACAGTAAAGTGCCTGCTTCGTGGGTTGCTGTGAGGACTAAACGGGTTAGAAGAATGGCTGGCACATGGTGTTATCTAAGTAGTAGATACTGTTAGTGTTATTCCTAAGCTAAAAAGAAGTCACCCCTTGCAAAGGCTAGGGCAGATGGGGTGGAACAGGGCACCTCTCTGGCTGGTGCCCAGGAGTGTGCAAAGGCGCAGGCAGCTGCTAACACCTGTCTTCCTTCAACTCCCACAGACAACGGCCCTGTAGGGAAGCGGCACACAGGCACAGCCACCGTGTTCGTCACTGTCCTGGACGTGAATGACAACCGGCCCATCTTTCTGAAGAGCAGCTATGAGGCCAGCGTCCCCGAGGACATCCCCGAAGGCCACAGCATTGTGCAGGCAGGTGGCCCGTGGCTTCTGGGGCAGGTGGTGGGCTGGGGGAGGTGGGGCCACACACAGCCCTGAGGGCACATGCTCAGTGGCACCAGAGGCAGAAGCAGGTAGGGGCCCAGGGTGGGTCTGCTGCTCTGGAAGGTGCTGTGGGGAAAGGGGAACCCAGGCCCCCTCCCATCCCAGAGAGTCTGGGCCCCCAGGTTGCAGAGCTGAGGATAGGGCTCTGGCTCCCCACAAACAGAAGGAAGCCTTGGCCTCCCGCTCCGTATCTCCTGCCCCACCCGGAAGGGCCTTTCAGAGTAGGGGGGAGAAGGAGATGTCACAATTTCCCGGAAAGGAGTTGAGGAGAGAGCCAGGGCCCAGAACAGAGCCGCTTTCACAGAGCCGCTTTCACAGAGCCCTTGGCCGAGGCTCCCCTCTTGGGAAGTAAACAGGCACAAGAAGAAAGGGCTCCTTTGCCCAGGGAGCAGGCACAACAGCTCCAAGACTCAGAGGGAGAGAGGGGAGGACCCTGAAAACGATTTGGGTGCCCCCCAACCTCTGCCCAGAGGCCTCAGTTGCTGGGTGGGGAGGGAGGCCCGGAATGAATGAGTCTCTTTACCAGCTATGGGATTTCCGACTCGGAGGCTGAGCCAAACAGCGAATCTGGGCCTGCCCACCGGGGCAGGCTCCTGGGCTTGGGAGGGACAGAAGCATGGGAGGCTGGCAATGCTCCCCTCCCTGCATCGGGACCAGGGGAGGGCAGGAAAGGGCTGGGGAGCAGGGAGCTGACTCCCAGAAACACAGAGAGCCCAGAAAGCCCTGGGGATTTGCGAGAGTGTGGTGGCTAGCTCCAGAAGGAGGAAGGAGAGGGTTCTCTCGATCAGAGCCTCAGCTTGTAAGGACTTGGAGCATAACCGCCTGGCCTGGTACCTGAAACCCAATTGAAAGCCCCTCCCCCTCCTGGGCTTTTCCTTCTTCAGGCCTCAGGGCAGCCTCACCCCCTACCCCAACGTCCAGGAAGAGAGTGCCTAGTGGCCAGCAGGGCCTGCTGGTGGGGTGGATGGCTACAAGCTGAATCCAGCCTGGGATGTGCAGGGAGGCCCCAGGGGAAGCAAACCAGGAAGAGGTTACTGAGCCGGAAGGGAGAAAGGAGCAAAACCCTTAGGGAGGAGGCCTGCCCCACTTTCTAAACCCAAAGACTTGGTTTCTATTCACACAATACTACTCCCACTGAAATCCTAGAGCCAGCAAGTTAATACAGGGCAGCGCTGATTTCTCCCATTTCTCAGGGAGAAATGCAGGGTCTCAGGATGACTTCTCCAAGGTCCTCTAAGTAAGTTTCTTGTGAAGCTGGACTCACTTTTTGAGATCAGATTGACTTGGAAGGGACAGTGGGCTTCTCCAATAGGGCCTGCTTGGAGAGAAATCTTTCTAGGGGCATCTGAGGGAAGATGACGCTCTGTGTTGTGCCAGCTCCCACCAGGACTCCTGCCTCAGAGGGTGGGGACACCCCCAGGCTGGGCCACTCTTTACTCTGTACACAGAAACCTCATACTTCTGTGCACAGAACTAGGGAGTCAAAGTGAGGGGCTGGACAAGGTCTGGCTCTCTGCAAGCTCCCAAGCTGGTAGGAAAGAGAAGACATAGACAAGAAGGACCCATGCTGCCAAGAGAATGTTCCTTGTCCTCCCCAAGAGAGGTAGGAGACAGTAGGGGCGGCTCCAGACAAGAGGGCTTCTCGGAGTGGGTATATGTGAAGCATAAGCCACAGTTAGTGGGTGACAGGTTGTTCAGTTTTCCTGGAGTTTTGGATCAAGATGAGGCTAGAAAGGTTCACTGGAGCCAGCTCCCAGGGGGCACTGCACGCTGGGCTGAGGAGCTTTGGCTATGTCCATTTGGCACTAGGGAGCCAGTGAAGGTTTTGGAGCTGGGGAGTGGCAAGCCAGAGCTCACTCCTTGGGAAGACTTGGCTGGCTGCGTGGGTCACAGCAGGATGGCGGTGGGGCAGCTTTGTGATGGGATCCTGGCCAGCTGACTGGGACAGGAGCTGGGCAGCCCAGGTCCTCCCTCTGCCCACCCTTCAAATTTGAGACCTGACCAAAATGTTTAACCCTGGCGTTGGGGTGAGAGGTCAAGGGTTTGGGATTCTGAGAAGCCCATCCTGGGGTGGGACTGCTTTGACAGGTAGTCAGCAAAGCACTCACCAAAACCATAGATAGCATCCCTAGTGTGGGCCGGACCCGAGACCCCACAGCTGTCCTGGAGAGATCTGGACCATGCCACCCTCAAGGAGGCTGCTGCTTTCCCTGGGTGAGGTGTGGAGCTGCTGTGAGCTGTCCTCCTCCAAGCCCTGGTGGCATCACCTCCAGCTGCTGGAAGTGCCCTGCCTCTTGCCACTCTGTCACAGCACCCGCTCTGGCCTCTGAAGGGAGCCTCCTTGTTTATCCTCAGTCCTTCCTGATCGATCCTAACGTGGGTGCCCTGAAGAGGGGCCACCAAGATGGCTGCCAAGACCGTGCTTGGAGAGCCCCGCTTGCTCCTCCTCCCAGCCGGCACCCAGGCATCTGATCCACCAGGAGGGAGGCAGCTGCTCCCACAGGCAGCGCCAGGCAGATGCTGGCAGCATCCAGGAAACCCAAGGAAGGCAGCCCCGAGGTTTTGCTCCAGCACTGGGCCAGCACAGATGGCAGGACAGTGCCTTGGCCCTGGTGTAGGCTGAGCATTTCACTTAGCTAAAGAAAACCTTTGCCATTTGGCAACTTCTCCAAGCTGGGCTTTGGCACGTGGAAGGCAAGGCTTCTGTGGCGAGCGAGGGTGCTGATTCTAGGAGGTGGTTACAAGCCCTAGGTTGTACCCTGTAGAGCCTCAGGCCGAAGGCCCAGATGACCACGAGTGCTCATCTCTTGACCAGAAGTCTTTCATCAAGCAGCAGCTAGGGGGTCTGCAGAGAGGAAGGTGCTCTTCTGAGGATCATCTTTAGGGAAGGGCACTGGCCTGGGCATGCAAGGAGCTTCAGGGGTGAGTGTGTGGCCCGGGCTGCTTGGGCCACTGTCTTCCTGCAGCCTGCAGCACCGGTCTCTGAAGCAGGAGGATCTACAGGTAGACCTGGGGGGTGTGGGGGCATGTGTGTGGACACCCCGTCACATCTTGGTAGACTCCGTGCAGTCACAGTGGCCGCGGTGGTCGTCAGGGCCTGGCAGGGGCCGTCGAGGGGCGGTGGGCCGGCCGCGGCGGAAGCTGTGCAGGGAGAGGCGCAGGGAGCCCAGGCGCTTCCAGAGCCGGAGCTGGGGCTCACTGGGGCTCCCGGGGTGGTGGGGCATGCACTCGCGAGCCCTGCGGCGGCTCGGGTCCAGCGCGGCCGGCTTGCAGAGCGTCATGAACAGCAGACAGGTGGCCAGCAGGAGGAAGATGCAGGCCAGGGCAATGAGCATGGGGAGGGGGTCAGTTGCCTCTGCAAGGGTCCCGGGAGTGACGGGAGCTGAGAGAAAGGCGAGGGGGTTGATGGTTGGGGAGCTGTCGAGGCTGGGGCCCTCTGTGCTCATGGCTCCTGCAACAGCAACAGGACAGAAGCTCAAAGCCAGATCAGCTGGACCCAGGGCAGCGGGTGTGGGGGAGACTTACCTAGGGAACATGGATGGGGTGAGGCACTGTTAAACTGGACAGCATCATACCCACATCACAGGTTAGGACAGCGAGGTCCAGAGACATGACAAGTCTAAGCACACACACAGCTGAGCAGTGATGGAGCTGGGCCCAAGCTCCAGCCCTCTTCCTGCTCCACCCCTGCCCATCTGACATGGAGACAAGAGGGCAGTGCCTGTCCGCATTTTCACATCAATCCTCATGGATCATCACAGGGTCTTAGGTCTGGAAACTTGGGACCAACTCCGTCAATAACTTGCTCTGTGGCCAGCAGCGAGTTATGGATGGTAAGAGGCTACAGCTGCCAGGGTCCCTAGCAGTTATCTAATGCTCAAGCTGCAAACTGGGGGCCCACAGGTGTGTTTAGTTGGGTCCTTGCCGTGTTTTTATCAATTTAATTGTGAGTATTTTCAAAATAATAACAGATTTCACAAAAATATCTGGGTGCCTGAACTCCCTTGAAATGTTAGAATTTCACCACTGGCACTGGCCCATGTTCCTGCCTCATCTCCGTGTCTGGGGTTGAGCAGCCACTGCCCCTGTAGACAGGGCGCTGACCTCCCACTCCCCACACTCCCCACAGGCCCACCACAGACCTTATTTCACCTGCCTGGCCCCGTAGGGATTCCTGTGGCTGCTTCCCAATGCAGTCCAACTTGCTCCCATGACAGGTGGAAAACTGAGGTCCAAAGAGGGGATTTGGCATTAGGGAGCCAGTGAAGGTTTTAGAGGTGGGGAGTGACAAGCCAGAGCTCACTCCTTGGGAAGGCTTGGCTGGCTGCATTGTGGGTCACAGCAGGGTGGGGTGGGGCAGCTTGGTGGTGGGAAGGCCAAGGCCATATTGTGAGCCAGTGGCCGAGTAAAGGCCAGAAGCAGGACTCCTGACTCCTGGCCCCACGGCCTTGCCACCCCTCTGGCCCCTAACCCTTTCTGAGCTCAGTGAACTGCTCTGGGAACAGGTGGGAAATACACCCACAAGGAGTTGACAAGGGGGCTGGAAACCCCCCAGGGACATCGTGCACCTGACAGGGCATTTTCATTCCCACCGAAGATCATTCCATTAGATGCAGTGCAGCAGATGGTCCTTGTCGATGGAAAACCAGGCTGAGCTTTTGGCTCAATATGTCTAGGGTGATAAAAACGCTCACAGAGCCTGGCCGGCAGATGACGCATGGCCAGAGGGTACAGATGAGCAGCGCCACCTGGAGAGCACCAACTGGGCCCTCTCGACGAAGTGGACGAGCCTCAGCCCAGACCCACGGTGCCAGTGCCGGAGTGCAGGCCCAGTGTGGGCAGCTCTGTCAATTTCCCAAGAGAAGCCAGAAATCTGGATTTTTTTAAGGCAAACATTCTAGACGTTTAAATGTTGGCAGCTAATTCAA